TCCAACACCGCCAGTGGATGGTAACCCCCCCCTTTCACACGTGGGGGGGGGGTAATTTAGAAGCACAGTAAACAAAATTTGAATAAGTTATACGAGCCTGACACAAAATTCTAAATCATTATCATTATTACTGTCATCATCATCGTTATTACTGTTATCATTATTATTGCTATTAATATCCTTATTATTATCATTAATGTTATCATTATTATAGTTATTACCATTATTTATTATCATTATTACTAACAATAATACTACTATTATTGTTCCTCTCATTACTAACATCATCATCAATCACCATCATCCCTTAACCCACATCATCACCATCACCATCATCCCCTTAACCTTCCACATCATCACCATCACCATCTCCACCACCACCACGATCGTCCTCATCTCCACCACCACCACGATCGTCCTCATCTCCACCACCACCACGGTCGTCCTCATCTCCACCACCACCATCCTCACCGCCGCCACTCTCCCTCCTCAGCCAGGTGTCAGTCCAAGCAAGACGCCGCGAGCCTTTGCGAGTCCGTCAAGAACGACACCGACGGCACGGCAATCATCAAGGACGGAGGAACGACCGTGTGTCCGTTCACCGGCTCCCGCTCCTTCACGTTCCAGAAGCCCTACCTCGTGTGCGACCTCGACCATTCCAAGCTCTCCTCCGTGGACAACGACACCCAGCTCTCCTTCGTGTACAACCCGTGTCCCAAGCAGACCAGCCCGAATGTGTTTCCTTACCGTGAGTAGCGGAGTGGGTCACGCTGGTCTGGCCTTTCTCTATGGCTTCGTGTGCTGGTCTGGGCGGTCTTGGACCTTTTACTGGTCATTCTTGGCGATTATGGAATGGTTAATGTGTCATCTCTTTTCCCTCCTTCTCTACGACCCGTGGGCTTAGACCGGGACACGTGCAGCTTTTGTTATGATTCTTGACTTCTGATAGGTTGGCTAATATGGAATCCCTCCTTCCTCTACAACTCCTGTGCTGTGTCAGGGTTCTAGACCTTTTGGTGTGATTCTTGACACCCGGTGAAATCAATCAAATGATCTGTGGTTCTCATATGGAATCTCCTTTCTCGTTTCTCTACAGCCTGTGTGCTATGCTAGGCGGTTCTAGACATTTTGCGGTGATTCTCATATTAACGAATATAGAATCTCCTTTATAACTCGTGTACTAAACTAAGGGGTTCTGGACCTTTTGTAATGAATCTTGACTCTCGATAAGCAGGCCAATAAGGAATCTTCTTTCTCTACAACTCGTGTGCTAGATTAGGGGTTCTGGACCTTCTGCTATGAATCTTACCTCTCTATATGTTGGCCAATATGGAATCTTCCTTCAACTACTTGTTTGCAAGACTGGGGGTAAGACGGACCTATGTCCTCTTCACTTGACTCTCGAAAGAATCATAAGCATTCTTAGATTTAGAAATATCAGTTGTTTCTGGACGTGTCGTTCATAAAAGGGAGCATTTCAGTCTGGTTTCAAAAAATGAAATAGCAGTGCTAGCTAATAACCTAACAGTCTACCCCAGTATACTACATCCACAGTTACGGCGTTGGGTTCCTATACCACTGCTTATGAACCCCTATGTTAGAGAGACTGACGATTACATTGACGTAAACATATTGAAATATTTATCTTAACATCATACATTCAATTATGCTGCAAAATGATTTACAGCTCAAATTTCCTATAACGCTTTGCAAAAGAAAGAAAAAAAGAAAAATCTGTTTCCAATGCGAGTTACTGGTTTGTTGCTATGACAACAATGCCAAAGCTTTAACGGGTTCTAGTTTCATGCGCATACCTGTGTCTTCGGGACTGCCAGACTGAGACGCCATTTTGATATATCTTTATTTAGCCTGGTCTTCTGCTAATTAAGTACCTTTTATGTTATATTGTTCACCTAGTAATTGCTATTGCTCTTGCATCTAGCTTTGTGAAAATGGTCATGATGTGCGTCACCTGACAGACCGCCAATCGTGTTTCTGTTTCTCTCTTCGGCCAGAGGAGCGAGTGGCCTGTGTAGCCTCCTGGAGCGACGGCGACACCCATTACTTACTCGGGCAGCTTACTGGCTACAATTACGGCGGTCCTCAATACCGCTGCCACATCTACGAGGAGAAGCCTGGCGAGAACTACCTCTACAGCATGACGAGGACCTCGGCACACTGCGGGGCATACAGCTCGGACTATGAGTACTTCTACAGGATCTACAATGAGTCAGTAGGTAGGTCTTGGAATATGTCTTCAGTCTTCCGCCTCCATGCTGCAGAAAGCCTTGGACGCTTGCAATTGTAATCTTAAGTAAATATAAGTAAGTACCTGAGTATTGGTCGCTTTGCAGCCCCCGGCATGCCTGTCATAGAGGGCTACGACCCAACCAAGGAGCTGTACCTCGGCGCGCCCCTCCGCCTGGTCTGCCGAAGCAGCGGAGGGTTCCCGCCGGCGGAGCTCAAGTGGTTCAAGAACGGCGACGAGATTCCCTCGGAG